TGCTGCTGGAGGCTCGCAGTGGTCGGCCAGTCGGGCCACAGAGTTCTGGTCTCATGTGTCCAGGCTTGCAGAGTTCTGTGGATGACCTGCAACTTCTTACTTCTAGACTCTGACAAAACTGAAGTTATTGTGCTTGGGCCTGAAAACCTTAGAAATCTGCTGTCTAATCATATAGTTACTTTAGATGACATAGCTCTTGCCTCCAGTACTACTGTGAGGAACCTTGGAGTCATCTTTGATCAGAATATGTCCTTTAAATCACACATAAACCAAGTCTCTAGATCTGCCTTCTTTCACCTGCGCAATATTGCAAAAATCGGGAGCATCCTGTCTCAAAGTGATGCTGAAAAACTGGTCCATGCATTTGTTACTTCCAGGCTGGACTACTGTAACTCTTTACTATCAAGATGTCCCAATAATTCCCTAAAAAGCCTCCAGTTAATCCAAAATGCTGCAGCCAGAGTACTGACACTGTCGTGTATAGAATTAATTCACAGGGAGAATCACTGCAGTGCCAATCATCATTTATTGAACAATATATTGTAATGTGAATTCCAAAGGGAGAGAAACAGAATCACCTGGACTTGTGGATCTCTGCAGAGTTTGGGGTCTTTGTCTGTCTCCTCAAGTCCCCCCAAATGCACCCACACGCTGGTCAAGTCTAAGTCTATGTGCGTCTATCTGAGTCTGCCTTATCAGGCTTGTAGCTGATGAACAGTAAAATCAAGTGGGTTGCTTAAACATAAATAATAATTATTAGATGATAAGAAAGGTTTCATTTATGTCAAGACACAAGGTGACTAAAAATTCGACAAGTGACTTTATTTTGTGCCCATATTCTATAAATTAAAATAATAAATTATAGATGCCAAAGTGCCTGAGCTAAAATTCTAAACACACAGATTTCATACTCAATTTCTTTATTACTTTTATCATTTCAATGATTTGTATAATTTAATAACAACCAAAGTAGTTTTAGTTAAAAACCATGTACAAAACGATGCCCTTTCTTTAGAATGCTCCCTTCAAAACTCAGCTCACGTTAAAGTATGTCACATTTTTAAGAGCTTGCATTGCAAAGAATTAGAATAAGTGGGGCCTGTCCCTTTGAGGGGCGGGTGATTTAATTCAATACTAGCCTTCATCATGGTTAGCATTGTTTTTATTACTATGAAAAGAGACACACTGTAACTTAATAACATCATGAATGGATTTTACCAAACTATAAAAAAGAGCCTCTAGAGAGTTTGAAGTCTCAAACATCACATGCTGGGATGTCTGATGATATGGTAGTTTGGTTTCTCAGGTTAAACCCAACTCATTCAGTCAACTCATCAGTTAGAAGTTCTCAACTGGGACAAAAATAAAAGAACTGGACATTCTAAGTTGAATTAACTCATATTGAACAAAAGTTACATATTTACATTTAGTTAAACTTCCATTGAATTCCTGTGTGAAGTTGTACAGTGTGGACGTAGGACTGAGTGCAGCGAACAAGAGCGACAAAGTCTGAGACTATTGAGGGTCAACTAGCACATTGTTGGCTCAGGTCTTTTTATAACAAGAAGGAAACTACAGAATAACTTATCCTGTAAGAGTACAAGTTGTCTTGTGCTGGGAAACTAGAAGGAATCGCACTCTAATCTGATTTAGATCCAGGATACGAGCTGCTGCAAGGCAACAGCTGAAGCACTGAATAAACACAAAAACAGCATTTGTAAAACTGAAATGAAAGAAAACCCTTGAACATCTCTAGCCTATATGAATACAATTCAAAAAAACTCTACACATGTTGCATTAGACTGTGAAATCTACTACTTCTTTGAATCTGCTTGCATTTTGTGCCACAGTTTAGGTGCTTTCCAGACAGTCCAGGATGTAAACAAGTGCTTGGCCACAGGCAGGCAACACAGTGTGAATACTAAACTGTTCACAGAGAAGCTCCCGTTGCTGCTTTCGGCTCTCCCCGCCCAGCTCTTCTGTCCAGAAACTGCAGGTTGATTGGCGTAGCTGGACAAAGCAGAGTTCTGGTGATGGGCTTCACTGTGGTACCAGCAGGATCTGGCTTCACCTCATAGTGCTTCATCAACTTTAAAATAAAGGAGAGAGAATATCAAAATTATATTTTGGCAAGAAGAGTGTGTGAAGAGTGCAGACGGGTTCACATTCCAGTGAAAGGCTGCCAACTGCTGACTGAATCAAAACCGTGCTTTTGGCTGAGATGAGTCAGTCCAAAACCTATTGACGCATTTGTGGTCTGTTGCAATGCCAAGACTAACAAAAGAAAAAATGTGTGCCCTCTCTAGAGTAATTGGAGGGTTACTACAGGTCAATACTGCTCTTTGAATGAAGCTAAAAAAAAACAAATTCCTGGGAAAACGCTTCCTGGAAGTGAAAAGAGAGGCAGCTGTTTGGCTCACAAGGTTGTGTAACCTGTTGGTTTGGGTGTCACTGGAGTCCAAACCACACCGTTATCAAAGCACCAAATGAGTGACTGTCTTTTGGAAGAATGGTGTTCATCCATCCAGTAGAGTTCAGAGACCAAAGTGCAGTGAAGCTGTTCTGGCGCTCAACACATTACTGAGACACTTTATGTTGGGTTTTCCTTTCATTTGCCACCTGTCTGTGGAATCCTTAACATCAACGTGTACATAAAGTGTTGGTTATTTACATCTCACAGGTACAGAGCAACATAAGCATTTAGACAAGCTGCTCTTACCCTGGACAGGAGGAGGTACATCTCAAGTTCAGCCACCCGTCGACCCAGACACGCCCGAATCCCAAAACCAAAGGGAACTGACCCGAACGGGTGCTGGTTCGACTTTTCCTTCACTCCACGGAGCCAGCGCTCTGGCAGGAAGGTGTGGGGGTTCGGGAAAATATTCTCATCATAGG